TCTTTAGAGAGAGAGAATTGGGAGATAAGGGGTAGAACGTGTATATTTGTTAAAAATAGGTATAAAAAATTTGTTTTTAGATTCTAATAAGTTAATTCCATTAATTTTAATGAATTCATCATTTTTACAATTTAGTTCAAAGCACGAGGGGTAGTTTTATACGTTTTGAAATCATAGAGGACTTTTCTGTATATTAGCTCTATCACAAGGGATTTTTTTGTTTTTTATCCAATTAATATTTAACAATTTAGTAATTTAATAGATTCAAATTTCAAATTCAATTTTTAGATTTCAGTTTTATCAAATACAGAGTTTTTAAAGAACAAGACGGTTATGTGGTAAAGTACCAATTCATTGGAGGATAAAAGGTAGTTTATCCATAAAATAAAAGACAAAATGAAAGGAAATTTGTTTTAAAACTGCCCTGTCTATATCCTGAAAAAGGTTTAGTAGGTCATTGACCTACCAGACACCAAACACTCGGTGTTTTGTGGCCCATTGTGCTCCATTATCGGGCCTAGGCCTAATAGTCATAGAACTATTCATGCATCCTCAAGCAAACCCCGGGATCTCTATGGTTCAATTGCGATATGTTTTTTAAGCCGTCTGAGGTCCACCACTACTGCACATTCGTGCGTCTGAAGGACCGCTTTGGGCTGGAAACCAGAAACAAGTCCAGAAACCAACTTGGGTTTTTCTTGTCAAAACCTTGAGAGGAAGAATCCATGGGATCTTAAGAACGTTGAAACTCCACCAACAAGGAAATGAGCCCGTCGAAATTAAACTGTGTCATTAACGAACTAAACGTTGCCTGGAAATGTGCAAAGAGGCTTCACTTTTCTGATTTGGTTCTTCAATATTCAACTCAAATGTTGCCATAGAATTGATTGTGGGATTGTTCTTCATGCTTGCTGCAATTGCGTTACAGCGTTATATTTTTATGTCAAGATAAATTCTATGTACTAGCACTAATCTAGTTCGTAAAATTTACTCAATAGTGTTTAGATTCGTTGTCTATTTGTAGTGTAACCTATAAATATAGTCTACTGTACTATTATTATTATTAGGGTCTTTTTAATGGGCACCCATTAATACATCTATTCTATTTGTAGTTGTAATTTTGTCGCACAATTCCAAATCTATTTGTATATTGTCTTTTTTACTCCGAATGAATATAATTCACCAATTGTCCGTTACAAATCCAACTCAGATTATTCTCCTCAACTAATAATGAAAACATATCTGTTTGGATTGTAAGTTATTTGGGATTATTTGGGATATTTTTACTGTAACACTTTTTGTGATGTGATGTATGTGAGATAAAAAGATATTGGGAAGATAAAAAGGTGTATTGGAAATTGTAAAGATGATGTAAGCAAATAAAATTGGGGAAATATGAAACAATCCAAACAAATCCTAAATGTTTTGCCTTTTCTTTTCCTCAAGTTTGGACTAAAAGGAAATCAAAGATTTTATTTTCTTTATTTACCATGCATGCATGCATGCATGCGCCATAGCCACAGCCATTTCATATACTAGGATACATGAGGATTATTCTTCATAATCGATTATTGACAAACAGATAACCCTATTGTACAAACGTACTGATGGGAAAACTCCACCCTCACTGATTTTAGTTTTAACTCGAAATAGGAAATAACTATATATAATCTTCATTACTAAACTTCCCAAGTACTTACGTAGCTAATTATTCTTAGTTCTTGCGGGCGTCCGAGTCATCACCTCCCATGGAGCCACCTCCGCTGTGATCGTTGAAGTCCTGCCTTGGTAAGTGATGGTGATTATCCACGCTTGATCCGGAGTTATCATCGATTTTACCCTCATCATTTGCGACCAGAAATCTCTTCTCTTGCTCTTGCATCTCGGCCGGCATGACTTTTCTGCTTGTAGCCACATGAGAACTGATCATTACAAGTAGGAAAACTACTAGCAGGTGCTTCATTCTTCAGATCTTCAACCCTGTAAAGCTGCTGTCAATACTGATGCCGTGAAATGAAGATAATAAACAAAAAAATCAAACCATTCATGACGCATGCATATGTACATGCCAATGCTAGGAGGATAGGCTATAGATTAGAGCTTAACTGATCATACATATGAACAACTACATATAGAAAAAGGTTGAAAAATGCACTTACACAACTTCAACTCTTCAAGGATGAAGTAACGAGAATCCAAGTATGATGTGAGGCCTTTGTTGTTTGTACAAGGAGCAAAGAGGCGGATTAGGGCTTATATAGTTACAATTTGGATAAATATTGCGCGATGGAGTCCCCACCAAATGAGGCAGGAATAAGTGGACTTGCCATATTACACCAATAAAAGGAATATTGAAAGATTAAAATGATCAAGTTGAGGAAATATTTTGTCCAGACATGAACAATAATAGTAAAATCCACCTTAAAAGTGGTTGATGATGAACACTACGTAGAGTGGAGTGCCTGTTCAGTTGTCTTTTCATGTCGAGGCATGGTTAGAGGCAAGAGGTAAAACTTCATTTAGGAGATTTGGGGTTCTTAATTTGGGTCGCTCGTTAATTCTGTTCGACTCCATGATTGCATTTGACATGTTGCTCTTTCATTTATCTTTTGGTTAACAACTAGGCCACTCGCGATTGCATCAGGTGAAGAAAATGAGGTTTTTCTTCGTGTTACCTTTCATGTCAAAATGAAGTTGCAAGATTAAGTTTACAAATCGCGGTTCTTAAGATATTTGAGAGGTGCCTCGTGATATCTGACTCCACGTATTCATTCTTTTCCTTTTTCTTACACTACTTCATTCTCATTCTCATTTTTCTTCAAGAAAAAAAAAAATTTCTGAGATTTTTTTTACTGTGAAACCTGTCAGCCTTCCAATGGCCTTGCAAGCCCTTCTTAATCATTGTTTTAGATGTAGAACCGTATAGGTAACAGCTGATCAAATAAATAGTCAGATAGCATATCTGCTAAATTAATTTTCTAATCTAATGTGCTCCAAGAACACAAGTCACGGTGATTCTCATAATGCCTCCTTGAATGGTTTTGACTTTTTGGACACCCTTCAAATCAGAGAAAATCAAATCAGTTTCCAAACAATTATTTATTCCAATGCTGTGAAAACTTGCCACAACTCCTAGATTCTGGAAATTTCAAGAATTTGTCGTGAGAAGAAACAAGGGCTGCAATCCTTCTTGCTTTCTTCTTTTCCACTTAGTTTTTGAGGGAACTAGCTTTCTCGGTTGTCCATACTAGCGTGGATCAGTGATAATTGTATAGTGCTGATCTGATGTTATGGTATAGATCAATAGTTCAAACTCGGAATACCAAATTTCATTTTTCACATGTGTTATAATGTATTGCATCAGTTGCATGGACAGTCTCATTCTCTAAGCTTGACTTTTATTTGTTATTCATATTAGTCATTCGGTTCATATTCTTCGAGTACCTCATTTGTGAAGCATAACAGGCAAGGGAACAACCGGGGTAGGATACTTACAATGTTGGGTTACTAATTAATGTGAATTCTTCGTTTATGACATGTTGTAAAGTTTAGGTTGAAAATTTAGCAATAGATAGTGAAACATAAAGCCCCAAAAGGCAGAAGCTAAAGCCCCAAAAGGCAGAAGCTGGCCCGTTGAGCCATCTAACACATGGCTTCCCTTTCGTTTGTTTCAAGAATTCTATCAATGATGTGCACCCACATGGGTCCTCAATGTATTGCCACTAGAAATCAAGATAAGATAGTAGGATAATTAACATGAACAAAATATTTGATCGGGGAATATAAATGGGAAGATGCTTGAATTAAAAAAAAAAAATCGAAAAATGCTTTGAATGGGTGAGTGGAATTTTGCACACTAAATATTCTTTGTTAAAAAAAAAAATAAATGTATCAATAATGACAGTAAGAAATAGGCATTGGCAGCATGCAGATGCGTAGAGAGCACTCAGAAGTCAGTATACTACAGTTGCAGTATAAAAGGAAATGATTCCAATTAATTAGTGAGCAGGTAGCTGGGCTTAAGAGGAATTCCCCATGATTTGTAGGTTTGAACTGTAAAGAAGAAGTTCTGACCATGTTGAATATTGAATGGATGCACTAATTTCTCATTCTGTACCAAAATATTGAAGGCACTGTTCAGTGTTATTTTCGCCGGTCTAAAAGGGAACCATTACCACAAGGTCCACAACAACTATTGGCTCCACCTTTCCATCTTTGGAACAGTATTAAAGAACATGTACCAGCTTTACATCTTTGGGCACTCAGAGATGGTTTACAGCCGGCAAAAGAACTCAACATCTCCTCACTTGAAGTGGAACCGGACTCTTAAAACTTCTGGTTTCATTTCTCGAGCAAAACTCCTCCAAATTCTCATGAGCTTTTCCCCACCTTATCTAAATGCAAGGAGCTGTCGACTACATTCCACTAAGTATTATAATTTTCATGAAGCGAACAGGTGTGCAGGCATGCTAGCTAAAAGGGGAAGAAGGCAGTAATGATTACATCCAGTTTTTGATAGTTATCCAGATTTTGTACTTCCCCTACCTTTGGATGATTTAAGGTCACTCGGATGACTATATATTAAGCTAATTACTTTGTTCATGACCATGTAGACCTATTTCTTCTCAATGCATCTTTAATTACCAAAAAAATAAAATAAAATTAAGGAACGTGTACCATACAATTTTTCATTCCTTTCCTGAGAAATATTCAATTTGTGGGAGAGAGACACATCGCAGAGTAACAAAAACCAGAGGAAAAAACTTGTATTTCCTCTTACGTGCAACCTGGCTACTTGCTATAGGGCAATATATAGTTCCCTGAGCTCAGGCTCACCTCACCACAAAGCTATATGTCTGTGTGTGACATATATATGACACAATATCGCACTTAGTATCCTTGCAATTTTTTTATAAAAAAAAACATGAAGAAAATGAAATGCCAATGCTGATTAGTCTATATACGTGCTTATCCTTGTTTCTGAAGAGTACATAAGCCCCTTTGGACCCTGAATTTGTAAAGGGAAAGTCCAATAAATTAATAAACGCCGAAAGAGGGAAAATAGGCTTCATACAGAAATGGAGTTAAAGCAAAGCCTTCTAGTTCCATTTGAAGAGTGAGGGAAGACAAGCTATTTTGTCCTTAATTTACTTTTCCCTTGTATCCCTTTCATTTTGTAGTTTGGCTGCACACATTTGAACTTAACGTTTGTACATCCAAATCAAAGAATGTAAGCTATGCTGCTGAGTAGCTTACCGGCAACATTGAATAAGCCAGCTACTTGTCATCTAAAGACTCAGAAGATGTTCCAAATTAACCATATAGGCGAAGTTTGACACGTTATGATGAAGCCTTTTCTTTTGGAAACGTCAACTAGAAAATTCGTCGCCTCGGGCGTTGATCTAATTGTGTCTTCAGTCTCCACTTCTACGTACTGTTCCACGAAAGAAACCAGGAAAAAGGAATTTAGAGAGGTTAAACTCTTTTCTTCTGGATTCTACTTATATAGTAGTATCTAAATACAACAAGAAAAAGCCAATTAGCTATCTTTCTTAATTCTGTTCACTAGAAAATTGCCAATTCACACCCACCTGCTACCTCAAAGTCTCAAACGAAGTTTCCTCGGATACCCACCTGGGTCAAATAAAATTCAAAATAGTACATGTCAGGTTCACATTTCATGTAGCTGCTATATAATCAGCACCTAATTATCAAGTCCTTCTACGACAACTTCATGTCCAAAATCATACCGGGCAAATTAGTATGGAGTATCTTACAAGAAAAGCCTTGTTTTGCTGCTTCTTCGTTTTTACGACCTTTGCATGTAATCTGGCACGAGCTGAAGAAGTAGGTAAGTTTTCGAACTTATACCAGATAAAAAGTTTCCAGTTTTTTTCCCTTAAACCAAAGAGATCAGTATTATAGTATTGAGTATGGAACAAATAATTTTTCATTCATGCTGGTTGCAGAGGATGAAAAGGAATTTAGTTACGATGAAAGAAGCCACAGGGGACCAGCTCACTGGGGGGAGATTCGGCCAGAGTGGAGCATGTGTAACCATGGTAGCATGCAGTCTCCGATTGATCTGCTGGATGCAAGAGTTCAAGTTGTGTCAAGCTTGGGAAGACTTCATAGGGCTTACAAACCTTCTAATGCCACTCTCGTGAATAGAGGCCACGATATGATGGTGACTCTCTCTTACCATCGAAATCCTACATATGACTTCAAACAAATCGGGTCTTCGTTATTTTTGCACAGTTATGAACTTATGCCCAATCATTCATTCAATTAAATTTCCTTGAAAATTGTTTGGAATCCAAGTTTTTTGCCAAGTTTGTCTGCTACAAGTTTTTTAAAAATTTTAGCTACAGTAATCTCAAAAAAATTTTCAAAATTTTTAAACTATACACTTCAAAATATTCAAAAATCTACACATTTAAAATTTTTTTTTAAAAACTTCTACAGTAAATTACAGTAAAGTTTTAGACAAACTCTCAAAAAACTCACCTTTCAAACAGGGTTTGGGTACCAAGAATAACTGAGAAATATCAAGGTACGTGGACCTCCCTGACATAGTGAGGTAACAACTTTCTTGTTCCTTTGGTTGATGGTTTTGCTTTGTAAATGTGCAGTTGAGATGGGTTGATGATGCTGGGCATATTCATATAAACGGGACCTTATATCATCTCAGACAGTGTCACTGGCACTCACCTAGTGAACATTCTATTAATGGCAAAAGGTACTTTAATTAGCTTAATTATTTCCTTTTAACAAAATGTTGCTAGCTTAGCTGTTTAGACTGTAGGATTACATGTAATTAATCAAGAGCATTGAATAATTTAAAGTCAACCACAGGTACGATCTAGAGGCGCATTTGGTTCATGAAGCCCTCAATGGAAAGATCGCTGTAATTGGAATCATATATGAGATCGGACGATCCGATTCCTTTTTATCTATGGTATATATTAGCTCCCCCTTCTCAAGATACTATGTCTTTATTTTTCTTTGGGTAAAATACAAAAAGTCCTTTGTGGTAAATCTAATACACAAAAAAGTTCGCCGTGATTTCAAAATATACAACACGACACCCCGTACTTTGAGTTAAATTGTAAATGTGACGGAATCCGTTAAACTTAACGGAAATGACTTATTGGAACCTAAAAAAAAAATTTATACTTAATTTTTAATAAATATACATGTTCTACTCCTTAACCCTCAATTCTCTCTATCTAGAGAATAAAACAAATGATTTTTTTTTAGCTGTCTTTTGCTTAATTATATCAGGGCATTTTGGTCATTTCGTCCATTTCCGTTACGTTTAATGGATTTTGTCACCTTTACAATTTAGTTCAAAGTACGGGGTGTCGTGTTCTATATTTTGAAATCACGGGGGACTTTTCTGTATATTAGATTTACCACATGGGTTTTTTTTGTTTTTTACTCTTTTTCTTTTTTATCCTAGAGGAAATTAAAGACTTCAAGATAATTTACTTCATAAAATTAACACCCTTTATTTTTGTTTTTATGGCACTATTTTCTTTGGTTTTTTTTTTTGGTTAATGTTGGATATGTGTAACCCTAGATGGAGAATAAATTAAAGGCTCTAGCTGATACAAGAGATTTGGAGAAAGTTGTGGGTGTTATTGATCCAAAGCAGATAAAGTTAGGAAGCAGGAAGTATTATAGGTACATTGGCTCGCTAACGACTCCTCCTTGCACTCAAAATGTCGTCTGGACAATTGTTAAGAAGGTTAGTCGAACTAATTCTAATTGGAAATTCTTAAGATTTTCTATAAATAAATAAATAAATAAATATATATATATACATATACCCATCTGAATTCTGAAGTCTAACTGCATCAAAATTCCTCAGGTTAGAACTGTTACTAGAGATCAAGTGAAAATGATTCGAGAAGCAGTACACGATGTGAGTTGCCAAATAAAACTCTACTTCAATCACAAAAAAAAAAAAATCTAGTTTAATTTGACCATTAATTCGACTATTTATGTCAAATCCTGCATAATTAGAAGCACAGTCAAATGATTAGGAGGTTTACGCACTGTCCTAACATGTAGCAATCCCTTTTTTTTTTGGCAGGAGTCGGAAGCCAATGCAAGACCACTCCAACCATTACATAATCGCCCGATCAGAATGTACAGGCCGCATGCTAAGGAAGAAGAAGATTGAAATATGAGACAAATTAAAGGATGAATTATAGTGCATTAATCCTTTCTTTTATCCTCTTTGGATGTGCTTATGCGTGTAATGTGAATATGGGCATGGAAATGCTCATTACCTACCTACGTAAATCTTGACATTAAAGTTGAGCTAGTTTATCAGTTAGAATACAAGTTCATAAAAGATATACTTATTACTAGTATTTATAATTTTTTTTTTTCAAGAAAGAAACCATATAGTATAAAGCTTTACAAGTGTATGGAGATATAGTAGAGTTTGAGAGTCCAATGAAGTGACATTATTATGGCTACTTTGTTCACATTCTTACCAAATGATTTGTGTCTGTGGAAATTAGTATCAGCTAGATTTACTTGTGAGGTAAATTACCCAACGCTACATATGAATTCTGTATTGGCTGTAATGGATCTTTTTTTTTTTTGAAAAAGAAATTACCATCATTCCTTTAAATAAGCTTCAGCAGCATATATACAAGATTTCCCTGAGGATGAAGACAACCTTGACATGATATGAGCAGGAACATTGCAATTTCTTCCAACATGGGAAACTCGTTAACATATTCAAAACTGCTTCGCATATTCTTGTTGTTGATTTTCTGCACAACATTTAAGGCATCATCTTCCAGAATGAAATGTGTAACGGCTCCACCTCACTTTAAGGCGAACCAAAGGGTTCGGCGGACAGCCTGCTCAACTCTCGCCAGGACTACTAATACGGTTATACACAACTCAAAACGTGCCGGAATACAGTAGCGCGCTTAAACAAAACAAAAATCACGAAACAGAAAAATAAAAATCGAAACGGAAAGTGAATAGTGCCTGCCACGTCACAATCCGATCGGGACCCAATCGAATACAAGTAACTTCATATAATCCTTAAAATGGACATATACAAACCAAAGATAACACATGAACACGAGTACACACTTTTATAAATCACATTCGTATTTTTACAAATCAAAAGGGAACATTTGAATCCAAGTACAATTAGGGTTTTCAACCATTGAGGAGCTATACAAAATATCTAAACTAGCTCAACTCATGCTTCAAAATCACAGTTCCAAAAGGTGGTTCCCTGTAAGGAAAATAAGGATAGCGGAACGGGGTGAGTTAGAAGTTCAATGAGGTACCAAAAGTATAACAGTAGAAATCATGATAAAACACTTTTAGGGCACATATACATATCAAGTAAGAAAAATGAACGAACACCACAATTTAAAGAATACAGGTGGCCCTCAGGAGCCAAATCTCCGTTGCAATACTTGATCCAGTTTCGTTGACTCTCCGTCAACGTTTAATAACACACTAATGTCCGTAAACCCCTCTTACGCCAAAATTCCGTTCACCAAACATACCCCTTACCGGGCTCGAACGCCGTACAGGAACAGTAATGATAATACTCGAGTATACCGGAATCAAGAGTCTCAATACCCAAATATTTTCCAGGAACAGGCACCCATGGATTGTCAATTACCTCGACCAAACCCTTGCTGGCTCGACTTAATTAACTCCCCATGAGATTGAGCTCAAGTTAATAGGAAGATCGTTGGACACACTTCCAAACGATCTCATAACAAACGCAAGTAACAAGTTCAAGTTCATAACAAGTACAAGTAATAAATTCCAGTTCATTCAGTACAGGCAAGAGAACGAGTGTGATAAAGTACACTCTCGTCTCATTCAGAATAACAGAGTTCATAGTTATTCATGTCACACATTTTAAGTATAGATGAGCCAATTAAATAACAATTCAGGGGAGTGGTACACTCACCAGTTAAAGTAGAGTTTCAACCAAGGTATGGCTCTAATCACCAAGAAACCCTAAAATAGCCAAGGTAAATAATTATGGTTCCCATAGCCACAATTTCAGTAAATAGAATGCACAAATGAGACTCGACTACAAGTCGTAAACCTCGCCAACTAATTACTCATGCAAGTGTGCAAAACATGATTTCGAGAACAAAAAGGTAATATGAAACCCTAGGGCTCAAACAACCTCAAAAGTCTGTCTTATATATATCCCAAATCAAATCAAACTCGAAGGAGTCCAACATTCCTAAAATTTGGACAGCATGTCCCCTACATTTCCTTACTTTTCCATCCTGCAAGCAACATCAATTCATCTCAAATCAACCACATACACATTATAGACTATAGAATACACCTTTCGGCACAATAAGCACAACTGAAACTACACTTATCGGATTGAAATGAATCTTATGGCATTTCGAAACCAAAATATAAATCTAAATTTCTTATGAAGACCTCCAAAGCCAAATCATGCATTTTCATGGTCAAAAATGGAAAACGCCACGAAAATAGAAATCTGTTCGCGAAACAGGGTTCATGGACAGTCAAGGGTATTTCTATCATTTCACATGCTACAGTACTCTAATTGAGCTGAAATTTTGCAGGCAGTTAGTTAACATCATTTGTTACAACTTTCATGTTTTAACCTAAGCCTGATTCGGCCTCTAACATGCACTAATAAAGCCGGTCAGAACAGGACAAATTGGAACCCTAAAGCTGAAATTTTTCGCAAATAACCGCAATTAACGCACAAGGAATCCATTTAACACAATTTAGAGTCATCAATCCAAGGGCCAATCATAATCATCATATGAAAACAGAAAAATTTTCAAAAAATCAGAAATTTAGTTAACTCCACTTTAATCCATGAAATCTTCCACAAAGTAGCATCTATAACAACTATAAGCCACTACTTATCAATTAATTGAAATAAAGAGGAAGTTTGTAAGCAAAGTACTTTGACACCTCAAGAAATATGATAACTTAGGATTTTTCTTTCCAAAACAACTCCACCAAGACCTTGAAACTCCCTTAGCAAGTCACTTTAGTGGACTAATTCAAGGTTTAATCGGTTGGATTTCAAAATTTGTGCAAGAAATGGAAGATATAGTTGAAACTTTCTTTTCTTTTCTCTCAGGTGAGGTTCGGCCAAGAAGGATAGGAAATGAAGATGATTTGGGTCAAAATTATTCTTTTAGTAAAGGTAAGAAAGTTAGGCAAGTCAACCGTCAAATCGGGTCGCGACACATGACACTCTTAATGGTTCAAACTTATCCTTTTGTCTCTCCAAAATTAAACCATCTAAATAATCTCTAATTATCTCTTAACACCTAATAAATTAATCCCGGTATACAAAATGTAAGCTAATTGGTCGAATTTAGCGCACTTAACGCCATTAGTTGGTCCCACGTCCAATATACACTTCTAATATCTCATGAACTAATTTATACTAGAAAAATAATTTAAAAACTATATTTCCTTATAATAATATCGCTAAAGTTAACATAATAACAAAAATATAGAAAACGGGTGCAAAGAAATAAAATAAGACCTAAAAATTCAGAAAATTTTCGGATTCTCACAAAATGGGAAATACCAAAATCTCTTGAAAATAGCAGAAATTTGAGGAAAGCTAAACATTCGACCTGTTCAAGGTTGATGGCTCTAGGGGATATCCTTTCAGCCATTCCCGCATCGATTTGCCCCAGATGATTTCATGGACATGGATGAAATGTTTGAAGCCATCTGAGGTTCCAGCCCCTTCCACACTTGGGCAAATTCACATTCAAGGAACATGTGTTGTTCGGATTTCACTGCACAACCACAACATTTACAGACTGTTATCATCTTTCCAAGCCTCGCTTGAAGATTCTGTCTGATAAGTCATAATTTGTTGCTTAAATTATTATTATTTTTTCCTTGATTTTAGTCAAATATTGTATTAATTGATAGATTTTACTTATATTTGGTGTTTCATATCAATTATAGGGTGTTGGAGCGAAAAGTGGTTAAATGAAGATTTTTTTGATGATTTGCATGTGGGCAAACCTACGTTCGGGATTCAAAATCGAAAAGTCGGGATTGATATTGGACAGTTTCCCAATCCAAGTCAAATTTCAAAACTTGACAGCTGCTGAAGTTTCCTATTTCTTTGCATTCTACGTCAATCTCGAGCAATTGGGAGAGCTTTTAGGAAATTGAATTGTAATAGGAAACTCTTTAGGAATTTGATTGGTATTAGGAAACCAATCAATTAAGCAATTCGGCAGAAAGAATTCGGATATAGCTCTTGCTTAGGAACAAAGCATAGTAATTCTTATTTTTCTGGACCGATGGAGAGGAAGACAATGGGAAAGTTTCGAACAGATTTTTACATGACTTGTTCTCCGTTAATGGAGAACTAATTTCATATTTCTAGTCAAGGGACAACTGAAGATTTGGTTCAACGATAACTATAAGATCTAAATTATTTTAATTGCTTCATTCAATCATTGATATTTGTATGTTTTCTATTTTGCGTTGCTATGATTATTGTGTGTGATTGAATAAGTGCGTAATATTTAATTATTCACGTAATTTATTTGCTAATTAGAGTAGTTGAATCCGTAATTGTTTGACTATTCCAATCCCGATAGCAACTGATATAATTGGATTTGTATTAGAGAAACGTACAATCTATTTCAAAGAAACTCTCGTAGCGTGCTTATTGATTAGAGTAGGGTTTTTCTAGTTTTTAATGCAATTAGAGAATAAAATCCTATGATCGTACGTAGGATTATTCCTAAATTAGGAAAATAGTCAATGGTCGTACCTTGACTATCGAAACAATAAGGACAGACAGACTGTCAGATCGTATCGGCAGTTAAAAACCTACTTATTAATAAATGTTGGAATTATAATTGCAACAATGATCAGTTGCATGAACCATTTCTGAAGTGTATCCTTGATTAGAGTTTTTCTCATTATCTCTCTCTCTTAATTATTTTTTCGTAGTCGATTAGTTTAGTTAATAATTCATTAGTTTTTAATTCTCAAAACCCCCGTTTATCCTTGACTTGAAAAGGAACAAATTTTCCTCAGTCCCTGAGGATAGGACCCTATTTGTCCTATATACAAATTAACAAGTTTTCGTGAATAAATTTTGGTATATCGAATCTAGCAAATTCTTTGGAGTCAGGGTGAATATGGTTGGCAATTTTCGACACGATTTGAAAACACGACGCGAAGCTAATACGAAATTAATGGGTTTGGATTAAGGTTTCAGTGGTTCGGTCACAATTGGGTCGAACCCGATGAACCCGAAAATAAACATGTCGATTTCGGGTCAACCCGTGGGTGACCCGATATGACCCGTTTATGAATTAAAAATAATTTAATAAATATAAAAATTATTTGATCTAACTAAACTAAGTTATTACTTTTTTTCAAAGGCATTCATTACTTAATTCTAAATGAATTTATTTAACTTGTGTGAAGTTGAAATTATTATATTTGGACAAATAATATATTATATTATATTTTACTTTTATATTGATTTAATTTAATTTATATTTGATTTGGGATAAAACACTTTTACGGTGTTTAATTTATTTTAGATTTGGTTTGGGATTATTTATTTAAATTTTTATTACTTGATTATGTAATTAGTTTTGTGAGAAATTGATTTTATTAGAAATTATAGTGGTAAATTAATAAATTAAAATTAAGTTTCGAATCATTTCAAATCGACCCGTCAATCCGAAATTTTCGGGTTTGTGTCAGGTATCCTGACCCGTTTTGGGTTGACGGGTCAGGTTCGAATCAGCATATTTTCTTTTATACATGAGTCTCAACCCGACGCGCCAACCCGAATTCGACCCGATTGCCACCCCTAAGGGTGAATTTAGTAACCCATTGCACATTTAGAGTCCCTACTCCAGTACTAGAATTGACTCGGAACTGCTTTTGTTGACAAATAGGATTAACATTATTATTATTGCACAAACTCAACACCTGTCACTGTCCTCCACACAAAAATTTTGATCTTTGGAGAAACATTTAATTTCCAGAGATTCTTGTCTTTAACTCGCGAAGATGCTTCTTCCTCACCTTTTATCTGCTTCTTGATTTTCCTTGCTAAGTAATTAGCAGATTTAATCATTGAACCCTTTAAATCACCACAATACTACAAAATAAACGAAAGTGTGTAATTGCTGCAGAGACTAGAATAGGGCTACTTTTAGATAAACCAAGAAAGTAATATAGGCCGCAAAGCTATAGCATTTAAATAAGAACCAATCAAATATTGGACCATACATACCACACTTCCTTAATCGACACTTTCAAGATTCCACAAATCAGAGCATGTTATGAGTAAGTTGTTATTATTGTGTATATGCATGTCTAAAATTAATTTTACTAAATAAGTACTTTTAATTTATTACAATAACTTGTGAGAAACTTAAACACTTTTTTGTAAGAAAGAAATAGTAGTATATATTTAAGCATCTTAAACAAAGGGCCTGTTTGGAACCTTGATTTTTTACCAAGTTTGTATAATAATAGTTTTTTAACAACTTTTGCTACAGGAACCCCAAAAACCTTCACAAAGTTTTTTACCTACACAATTCAAAATACCCAAAACACAAAAAAAAAAATTCCCTTCCCTTTTTCTTCTTCTTCCTCCCCCACCCCAACCCCCCACCACCTCCGTCGCCGGTTCCGGCGCCGATCACCTCTTCCTTGCCGGTCTTCTTTTTTTTTTCCTTTCTCCCTATCCCCCTCTTCCTCCCCTGCCATCCTCCCTTGTTACAGAGTTCGGTTGCACAATAAAAACCTCCATCCAGGAAATCAAAGAAATGACAATCCAAGAGTAAGATTTCCCTTTGCAAGATGGGGAATAGTTTTAGCATTAACGTCTTTTACTGATCTAACAAGAAAGACATCTTTCCTGGCGCCTTTTTCTGCTCCCAAATAGAAACTCAAATGCCAGACTGGGTAGTACTAGTGCGGGAAAACGGTTCAGGCTGCCGCCTTCCTTCAGTTGGCTTCGCGCTGCACCGGGGGAGGGTGAGAGTGGCGGGGGAAGGGGAGGAGAGGAGGGAGAAGGAAAATTGCAAAAAAAAAAAAAATTTCCTGTTGCTGCTTCATCTGCCGGCAAGAGAGAGGATAGGGAGAGGGGTGGCGGGGAGGGAGAAGAGGGGTGGTGGGGGAGAGGGTGGCGGGGGAGAGGGGAAAAATGGGGTGGCGGGGAAGGGAAGAGGAAGGGGAGAGGGGTGGCGGGAGAGGGGGGAGAGAAAAAAAGCAAAAAAAAAAGAAAAGAAAAAAGTTGTTGCTGTTGCTGCTTCATTAGCAGTTTTCGAAGAGGGAACAAGGGAGGGGGAAGGGGAAGGGAGAAGAAGCGGGAAGGGAGAAAGGAAAAGAAAAAAGAAAGAAAGAAAAAAAAGAAAAAAGAAAAAAGAAAAAGAAAGAAAGAAAAGGAAAAGAAAAAAAGTTTTTTCATCTCACAAAAATTTTTCTACAACTTCTACAGTGATCTACAGTAAAGTTTTATACAAACACCCAAAAAACTCATCTTCCAAACAGGCCCTAAAATTTTTCATTGCATTTTTCTCAAACTCGGTATTAGATCGCAACAAGAATGTAGAGGAGGAAGAAAACGGAAATCTAAGCATAATATGGAGAACAAGAATAATAAAAGAAGAAAAGGATTTGCCGAAGCAATTTATAGATTTTGTGAACATAGGAAGTGAATCACTGCTGATCTCTAATTAAAGAAATAACGTGCAATTAAACCTAAATAGAACTTTGCGTGTATTATAATTCTATTTCTAACCTTCTGTTCCCATTTCCTACATTACCCACCCAAAAATAAAAGGAAATAAGGGTATAATAGTTATTAAAATATTCACCCATGGAAATAAAATGAATTGTCTACTTTTATCCACCCAAAAATAAAAAGAAACCAAGGGTATAATAGTCATTACAACGTTTCGCTTCCTTTAAACAATGAAAACCGTCAAGGGCAAAAATGGAAATAAAGAATCCTGCACCGCCGCTGGAACACCGTAAGAGTCCGAGGTATGACGAGTTCAGCAGTTGTTTCATTTGTGTGTTGCATGGCCGTTCTTCTACCTTGGTAAGCACCGAAGTAAATTCACGAACATCGAGGTACTGCTAGAAACCAGGGTTTTTTTCGGGAGCCGTGGATTCAAGAATCTAGGGTTTTCTTTAAACCCAGAGGTAACTAAGAGTGCTTCTTGGTATTGCTAGTGTTAATTCTGAGCTTAATTAGTGTTTTTACGCTTAAAATTTGCACTAGGGAAGTAGGATTGGTTGGAATTTTGCTTTGCATTTTCAGCATTTTCCAAAATTTCGTAATTTCTTTTTTTTTTTTAGGCAAAGAATTTGTAATTTCTTAACTTGGAAATCAAATAATGTTAACAGGATTTGATTTGGCTTTTGGAAATTGCCCTAATAGTCCTGCATTGTGCTATCACTTCGTTCTTCGTTCCCAAGTCTTGAAGTATTAGGGCACCAAGCTAGAAGGAGCTGTTCTACAACCATGTCCTTTTTCTTTTTGTCAAAGAAAGAAGTTTTTTAGGTAGGAAGGGGAGGTGAAAATTGTAATTTAGTGAGGATTTGCATAATACTTGATTGAGATTCATTGGTTTTAGTTTATAGGATTATGCTTAGAGTGCATTCGGGAAGAGAGATCTGTACCACTTGCTACTACCTAATTGTAAAGGCCCTTAATGTATTTGTCAATTTTGTTTCGTATTTTGGAATAGTTAAGCTGAACAATTTAGTGGTTTGCAGCTGAAAGGATGGCTAATGATTCTCGCTCTAGGCAGAGAAATAAAGATTTTGAGGGTGACAGTTCAGGTAAAAGTATGGATAGCGGGGAAGGAACTTTGAACTCTGGCACGTTAAAGGTTGATGCTTCACGTTTAAGGCAGACAACTCAGGGTGCATCATCCTCAGGACAAATGACATCGAGCCCATCAAGTACTAGGAAGTCTGAACGACTTGAAAAGCGGATGCCATCAACACCTCTTCCGGTTATCAGGAAATCTGAGAGACTGGAGAAACAGAGCGCCCCAAGTCCTTTAAGAAGGTCTGACAGGAGTAGAGCACTTGGTTCATCAACTTCATATGGATCAAAGAGCTTGGAGAAAGTGTCCAGTTCAGCGGACAGAATGAGCAGGCGGGAAAAGAAACAGAAGAGCGTAAAGCAGTTGACGATGGGAACTGAAAACGTCAACCATGGTGAAAAATGGAACCAAGAATCTTTTGGTGTAAAGAGGAAGAGAATGGATGCTCGCAGTTACAAGGATTTGTTCAAACGAAAACAAATATGTTCAGCATCAGGTAGGCAAATTTCTCATGCGAGGCCCTCCACTTAACATTGTGATGACTGTTGAAAACTTAGAATTTTTCGCACGGTATATTTTTCCAGTATCTATGTTGGATACAAGCGTTTAAATTCATGCTGCATAAATGTTAGTGTCTATAATATTAATTCCAATATCTTGAACTGAGTGGAGAATGAGCTTGCTAATTTGGTCATTGGTATTAATCATAATGTATTTTATGATGCATTTTAGATGGTTGAAAGCAGTTTGTAGTGTATGTTATGATACATTTGAGATGGTTGAAAGCAGTTGAATCATAATTCATATAACTTTTGGCTGCTTCTGGGTGGTAACAGGCTGATTTGGTTGACCTGCATGTCTTCCTTGTTTGTCATTGTTTACTGCATGCAGGTAGGGAGGACGAGTTGGAAAGACATGACCTGTTGCCTCAAGTTGATAGTGGTGGTAACATGAGTTGTTTAAAACAATTAGAGGACAAGAATGAAGGACATGAATGCGGTATGAGGGTCACAGAAGACTCGAGAGAAAAACCTTTGGAGAGAGCTGTCTCAGGAGCTGCATTTGGTTTGAAAGATTGTGATGCCAAGATCTCTGAGCCCAATATTAATTCTACTACTGGAAATTCTCAGATTCCTGAGATGGTGACGTTGACTTGTATGGCGAGTCCACTTGGTTGTAATACTAAGTTGGAAAGTGGTGCCCGATGCATGCAATCAGAAGAAAAGGGGTCTACAATTAATGTAGCGCCTGATGTCACAGGAATCCTTGTTAGTAAATCTGTCTCTGCTCTGGTTGCCGAGTCTGATCCTGCAGCATCCGGGGAGAATGATATATATGGCTTTGTTGGGAACTGTGCTGTCTGCTGTAAGAGGCGAAGGTGCTTTGATCCTCTCTCTTTTTGTTATAAAGCCTTGCATATCCCGATTTTCGGGGATCAGTTGTTTCATTTCAAATTTTTTGAAATGCTCTCAAATGAGGTTATTATCATGCATCAAGTGTGCACTTTTTTTGTGTGTATATTGCTATGTTTGTATTGTTTAGAAAATTAAGGGCATTGCTCCTGGTCTTTCATCGTTTAGACCTAAATACCAATATAGTCCTGTGCATATTGACCATCTTCCTATCAAGTGAATCTTTTGAGAAAGGAGCCTGATTCATCTCTCTAATAGATACTGATTTATCCAAAAATTTAAGCATTCCTAGTTTAGTAGTCACCTGATGTATGTCCTTCTCCTTTCCCAGTGCATTCTATACTAACTTCAATCCAGATGGGATGGGGGGTCAATTTCGAGCCTTTTACAAGCACTTTTTCCATCTCTCTCAAAGTCTCCCATTCTGAGATGTGCAACCCAGATAAACAAGTGTCACTGGAGCAAATCCTCCATATTTGTCTTAAAAAATCTTTCCCTTGCAATCTTTGTTTGGGTTTTGTTAAGTTTTAGTTTAGAATTATCCATCTGTTGCAGTCCCCTTCTTTACGTGGTGTTTCACTCCTCACATTTAACGAGCATGTTTTCTCTGAATGAGTTATTTGTATAACAGAGTACCAGTTGGATAATCCCATTTTACGGTGTAGGTTGCTGTGCTGTCATGGTGCTTGGTCTTACTGTTACATCTTTTGCTTTGGCTTCCTAAGTTGCTGTTGGAAATAATGATCCAGAATCTCTTCTTTACATAATCTCTCGTTCCAGGATCTGCTTGATGTCATTCTGAACTTCAAGTAAACAGAGCTGAAGTTCTTCCTATTGCTTTTTGATGCTATTAGATGCTGCTAAGCCAATGGAATTGTCAACCTCTTGTTCTTTCGAGTTATCAATCTTTTCTCTTGTCAATGCCCTTTACCTTAGCTCGGTTATACGTGCTGATAGGTTCCCAAGGTCATGGACTTTCTTCAACAGCTCATCAGTATAGTGAATTTTCATTACTGCTCCTTTGAATGCCACATTGTTGCTTATCCCTGTGGTGCAGACTTTCCAACCATTTACAGAGTCCTTTGTCTTTTTCTCCCAATTAAGGATGCCATAGGTGTTAGATTACTGGAGAGCACTTTGATGTATTATCTTGTTTCTGGAGGCTGAAAGAAAATTTCAGCAATTCCTCATATATAAAACTTAACTCCATATAGGGTTGAAAGAATTTCTCATAAGTGGAAATCCTAACTTCTGATACTACTTTAGTTCATCTGAAAGAGCCTTATGTATCTACCACAGCAACGTACTTCAACACTTTATTAAATTATAACGTGTGTTTAGAAAATATATTGAGTGTGTTTGGATAGTAGATTATTTGGAATAATTTTTTGAAAAAAATACCGTAGCACATTTTTGATGTGATGTATGTGAGATAAAAAGGTGGTTGGAAAATGTGTTGATTTAAGTAAATAAAATTGTCAAATAAACTACAATCCAAACAAATTAAAATTGTAAACTGGCAGGTGGATGGCACAATAAACTTTGGACGAACACTTGTCTTCATGGTCTTCCTAGTCATATATTTTCAGGGATACCTTTTGGCAAAACAGTTTCTTCATGATCTGTCAGTAGTCTTACTTTTCATGAGATGTCCTTTCTAGCTGTATTATAGGCATCATATCAACTTTTTTAGCAGCCCATCTGTTAAATAAAGGCAACCATGCATGGAAACTAGCTGCCACCATCATCGAGGATTGCCGAGTGTTCATGGATGTTTACTCAGACAGGAATACTGGAGTTGATTGTCCGGCTAAAATGGGTTCTTTTAACCAGGTTTTCATAGTGCTTGATGTACCTTCATATGTGATACAGGTTTTAGTACAGGATAGCATTTAGCACAGCCATCTAAGTGTGCATTTTCCTTGAATGAGTACAAATGTATCTTTAACTCTAAATGGTGTATTTCTTACTAAGTGTGATTTTGGTTGACTGAGTACAAATCTATGGTGAACTCTTGCTTATGTATTCATCATATATGAAAGGCTTTAATAAGCTTGTAAATTTACTCCATCTTACTTGTAAGGCTTATGCTTGTGTTACTGAAGATGATAGGTGTACCTTTCTTAATTAGGTTTTTTGTGCTCTTGATCTGTTATTATATATGCAATTAAGTATGCTTGAGGAAAAAGTAAAGGCAATCAAAATTTCTTCCTTCTTTTATTACTTGGAAAGAAGAAATTGAGCTAATTCATGTTGTTTTTGGTTGTGAGAGGGTATTGTTTCTCTGCATTGTCGGACCTGCCTGGTTGTTTCTTTATTCTTGGATCATATTGCTGATTCAAAGGCAGTCAAATTTTCTCTTTTCTTATCATTTGGAAAGAAGAAATTGAGCTAATTCATCTTTTTTGGCTGTAAGAGGGCATTGTTTCTCTGTATTGTCAGTTCTGCTTGATTGTTCTTTTATTCTCGGATCATATTGCTGATACATCTTGCAGTATGAAAATTTTCAATTTTTCTTCAAAATGCAAGTTACTGGTTATCAGTAGATTTTATGCTAGGCTGTACGGTATCTAAAGCAAGAGATAATGCACAATGGAAAAGTTGTTGGGTGCTACTGCTATCTATCTTTGTTTTTCCACTGGCTTTGTACATCCAGGACCCATAGTATATCATTTTTTTTGGCAGGTCAGATTATGATTCACCAAAAGAGGAACTCTGTTCTTGCGGAGCTACTCTGAGCTGTACCTCAGGTGACATCTCAAGAAATAAGGTTAGTTTGTAGTAATGTTATGAATTTTGCTCTATGGTCATAATAGCACAACATAACAGATGCATTGCTTTATTCTGAATGTTATTTTACCGTAATTGCTGTGAGAAAGATGAACAAAAAATTTTAAGCATAAGCTTAATTGCCAAGGCTGATAGTTAAAATTTGCATGCTATCACATGGTTTTATCTCATTAAAAATTGGCCAATTTCTTTTCACTCAATTTGGTTGGTCAAAAAGGAAGTGTTAAGGGATTACATGTAGCTTTTGCGAAGCTTGGGGCCCAATTCTTTTGCATTCAGCTCTTTGCATGGTACATGTAGCTCTTTTGCGAAGCTTGGGGCCCAATTTTTTTGTCAAGCACATGACTATATAGTAAGCTACCTGGTTAAGTGAATTTACTCAATTGCATAGGCTCCTTATATGATGATTTGAGATGTCTTTTGTTTTAGCTGTAGTTTAACACCCTCAATTGCACTGTCATGCTGTTCTGATCAGTCATTTGCTTCTTTTATTCGTAAGAATGAATTTAACTTCTGAACTTAATTGTTAAGTTATAATTCTTGGTGTTTTACATGGGAAATTGCAGCTTAGGTTCTCTTTTCTCTCCTTTAATTATGGTCATTATTTTTTTGGTACATCATTCTTCCTGCACTCATGCTATCTTTTTAAGCCACGTTGTTGATGGGAGTATTTTACCATGCAAAACTTTAACGTGGATGTTTGTATAAATCGCTATTGCAATGTTGTCCACTTTTTGTTATACACCCATATGCTATGATCTCATTATGAGTGATGATTTTCTTTTTTTGACTCCGTAAAATTTTAGGATAGTGGAAATCTTGAAGCTGCCTTTAATTCAGAATCAGTTGGGAGACACAATTGCATTCCAAGATCAAAGGAGACTCTTTCAGTCACCAAGACTGATGTTCAAAATGTGTGCGTGATGTGCAAGAAGGGCGGAAAGCTCCTGTGGGTAAATTATGCTTTTATGCTTTTATTGTTTAGACAATTTGGGAAAATGTCTTGGACTAGATTGCATCTGATACTTTTTCTTTTGTGTGGGTATGTCCCTTTTTGCGCCTTTTCAAGCTTAATTTAGATTTGTTGTGGTTTCACCTTGTAGTAAGGGGGTTAATGTGTTTGTACTGCTGCTTATGGGGTACCCTTTGACACTAAAATAGATTTGCTTTTTATTGCTTTAGCAGATTTATTCCTTCTCCTGTGATTTCTGTTTGACCTTAGAAGATGCCTCAGACTGTGTGACGGTTTTGCTTACTTTGTAGGTTCTGCGCTGGAGAAAGTTGTAGAAGATGCTACCATGTATCTTGTCTGGATCCTTCTTTAGTTGATGAAACACCTGGAGTCTGGCACTGTGCATTCTGTGTTAAGAAGAAGATAGAATTTGGTGTCCATACAGTGTCAAAAGGAGTAGAGTCCATTTGGGATGTTAGAGAAGTTGTAGTTTCAGATATGAAAGGTCTGGTCTGATTCCTTTGTTTTAACTTGCTTCGTGGGACAAAAATATTTGGCATGATGTTCAGAAATGATTTCTATTACTTGACTGTACAGGGTTTGTTTGGATTGGATTTTATTTCCCCAAATTTATTTGCTTACATCATCATTACAATTTCCAATACACCTTTTTACCTTCCCAATTACCTTTTTATCTCACATACATCACATCACAAAAAGTGCTACAGTAAAAATATCTCTAATAATTCACAATCCAAACAGACCCACATGTGATTTATTTAGGAATTATTCTTGTTATGCCAATTTTGTCTTTATTGCTTCTCAGGAATACGTAGGCAGAAGCAGTATCTTGTTAAGTATCAAGGTCTTGCTCACTTTTACAATCATTGGGTATCAGAAACATTGATGCTTCATGAATCTCCTTCTCTGGTTGAAAAGTTTAATAGAGAGCATCAGGTCAATATTTTCATGGCTTAAAGTAATTGGATCATTTACTCTGCTTAAAAGTTTACTATACTTTGTTTGGGATATATGGTGATTCTATTTTTGGGCTTCAGATTGTTACATGGAACCCAGAGTGGAGGTTGCCACATCGTTTGCTTAGAAAGAGACGTTTAATGTCCTTTAGTCATCAGGATGAGTATCCAAGTTCAAATAATGATGCTGTTCCCTATTGCCAATTTGAATGGCTTGTCAAATGGCGTGGGCTTGATTATGAGCATGCTACATGGGAAGTTGATAGCATGAAGTTCCTACATTCACCTCAAGGGCAGAGACTTGTGAGAGAGTATGAAATTCGTCATCAGAAGACAAGAAAAGTGTCTGACAAGGTGACTTTAATTACACTGTTAAATGTGCAACGTACTTTAAATTGTTTTAAGTTGATATCTTGTTTAGTGCTTGTTGGATCAACAAAATGCCTGTAAATTGGCATGCTGGGCATCAGTATTTTCTTTATTTTTACCTCCTTTCTTGAGAACTTTCTTGCTGATTTGGATCTAAGTTCTTTCTGACGCTGTCCATCACTCAGAGAGTGGATCTTCATGTGGGTTGCATTTTCTCTTTAGTTTGTCTGGGTATTTTTTTTAAAGAGCTGGAGGATATTTGTCTCAACAAGTGATTGGATGTTGAGCTGGATCATGGATGCATTAACTTTGGCCTTTAGTTTCTCCTTAGTGGAATGTAGTCCCAGAAACTTTAGTAAAATTTGGAGGTTTCACCTTGATATGGCGTGCCAGGTTCCTGGATGCATAATTGTGTTGAATCTGGTTTGGGGATTATCATCGGTTCTCCCTCAACATAAAGTTTTATTATCCTCTGGTCTCCACCTAGAAATACATTCTAATTTCCACTTAGGGTATTTATTGTTGAAAAGTATGCATATAAATATGCACACACAAAAGAGGAGTTTCTTAAGTGGGGAGTCTTTATGGCAGAGACTTCTACGCTTCTTGCTTTTCATATCCTGGTTACTATTTTGCTTTGTCCTAAAATAATTGTTATGGTTTAAAAATGGAAATATATAGAGCTCAACTTTCCTATTGTACCCTTCATACAATTCCCCAAAAAAAACGTTTTAGCGATGTTCCTTCAGTAAATAAGGTTACAAATCATCTTCATATTTTTGGTAGTTGTTCCTTTTCTAATATTCCATGTTCAACTAACATAACATTGGAGTTTGAGGGGCAATAATGGAAAGAGTTGCATTGGTAGTTGATATGTTTTGATCAAAGTTACTTTTTCTAAACTTTGTGCAAAGTTGACCATGACATATAAAATGGGATGGAGGCTGTATGTTACTAACTGCTCTCTATTTCATCTATTGAGATGCTTATGTTCACTTGTCATTGTACCGTAAGTGAGTTTTGTGGCAAAAATTTTTTGTGGTGAAAATATGAAGTGTAAAGAGTTGTGTGCGACAGAATTGCAATTTTCATTTGTCTTTGCTTGCTGATACTGCAGAGTGCAAAGGGAGCTTTTACTGAACTGCAGAAACTTCCAGCAGGAGGATCATTTAGAGCTGATGACAATATGTTAAACAATGTGAACAAGCTGCGGGAGTTTTGGTATAAGAACCAGAGTGTTGTTGTCTTTGATGAACAGGTGAGCTTGTTTGACAGCTATGCTCAAGTTTCTTTCTTTCTGCTTCTTTCATTTTTGCTGTTTTTAATCTTTTTTTGCATTAGGGCAGTCCACATGTTCGCCCTGCCTATGAAATTTCAGTGTCAGTGTCAGCTACCTGCTTTCATGGCTGTGTTGTCACATGCAAATTTGGACCAGATGAAATTTAATGTTGCGCATACATAATTTCTTTTCTGGTTCCATTTGCTCAAGTCACAGATCTTTAGCCTAAATCTTTAAATAGTTATGTTTTTGTTTGAAAATCCAACGGATGTGTTTACAAGTGTCCCTTTTCTGGTAATAATAGCTGCCTTGAGGCTTAAGGTGTTAGCATGGGCCTGCTCAGTTGTATGATTGGAACATTTACCTAACCTTTGGTTGCGAGAAGAAGTGTAGGAAATTGAAGGGAGTTATTTTCTTTTTACAGGGTGTCTTGTTGTCAGGAAGGCAGTAAAAGTTTCCTGCATTTTCCTGCAACTTGTGTCCTTTAAAATTTGCAGTATTTTTTGGGAAACTGGTTAACCATACATAAGGATGTTAAAAACTACAAGTATACCATAACAATTGTAATTGCAGATTCTCTGTCAGATTTTCTCTTGTTAGCAGAACACACACCTCTAATAAAAGAATATTAGCTGTTGCTCAAAAGGCAATTTGATTTTAGAAGTAATTTCAGAGGGAGGGATTTTAGTAATATTTCAGCAACAGTACGGAGTTCTTAAAGTAGTCATATTCAAACTTTTTATCAAACTTATCATTATCTATTATATTATAGTTACAAAAGATAAAAGTTGTGCCTCAAAAGAAGAAGCTGTTCTTGTTTGCTAACTTCTTAGAAAGAAAACTTCAGACTATGAATTTCTTTCTCTTTTTTTAAGTACACATGAACTGCATGAGTAGAGTAGATGTGAAACTGTGAGGATGAGACCAAGAACGTGATGCAACAACAGACATCTGAATGACTATTCATTACCATTCATCATTAGGGGTTGCATTAACTTAATTGCTGAATAGGCATTGAATGCACGTGAAATTTTCGGAGTTGATACATCATTGATTTGATTCAAGTACTGCTGCAACTGTTTTAGGTCTGTATTATTTCCTCCTGGTTGTACAGAACGGTAGAAAATGTCTGATTAAAAAACTTACAAGTTAATGTTTATTTTTGGTTAGTGCACTTTTTAGCTTCATTATATTTTGAAAACAACATTATTCGAAGCTAAATAGGCGATTAAACTTTTGGATGTTGACGTGTCAATTGTCTGGTAAGGAAGAGCTGGCTACTGCAATTGGTTTAATTGATCCATCCTCTTGAAAGTTGCCTATTTGGTTGATTTTGTGATTTGTTGATTGTTGATTAGAATTCAGGTGCATAGGTCTTTATTGTGTCTTTACTTTTATTGAGTGAGTTTGTGACTTTTGTCTGTTGTACTGCTATTTGGAAATCATTTGTCCTTTCCTTTTGATAGTCCTTTAAAATGTGTTAGTGAATATTTACCCATCTATTCTGTAGAAGAGTGAATTTGCTGTAAGTTTCTGGATATCTGTAAGGCACCTAGAGCTTGCTTGTGCTCTATGCTGCTTTAGAGCTGGCATGAGAGTAGATGTGTTGTTTTCTGTGGACCAACATTAACCTACTGTGTGGTATTGTAGGTAAACTATTAGCAATTTTATGGTATTTTGGGTAATTTTTTAGTAGCCACTTTTTATTTATTTATTTTCCTTTCTTGCAATGAGGAAATTCATGGAAAATGTTAATTCTATCAATGAGATGGAGTTGAGGTGGAGGTTTAATTGTTTTTCTTGATGTCATTGAAAATTTGGGTATAAGTCTGAAGGTGATTTTCTCCGTTGAAAGCTAATGCAGTATTATCATGCATATGGATTATTTGTGCACTTACTGTGTATTGAATGTGGTGCTTGATTGTCTTTGATGGGAGTCTCAATTGCTTCCTGTAAACTAGTATTGCTGCTACTTTCAGTATCTTTATTGCAGTTTGCTGTTAATGGATCATCTTTGTGTCTCGAGTAGGAAGGCTGAACTTTTGGCATTTATTTTTTCTCAAGAAAGCTAAGATGTAGCATTGACTATGTCTTTGCAGGATCAATTGGAGACTGTGATCTTATTCATCAAAGCATTGTCTGAACATCATCAGCCTTTTCTCATTGTTACAACTTCCGCTGCTTTGTCCCAGTGGGAAGTTGAATTTATGCGAATAGCACTGTCAGTTGATGTCGTAGTTTACAGTGGAAATAGGGATACCAGGAGCATCATCAGGACACTGGAGTTCTATGATGAAAGTGGTGGTATATTGCTTCAAGTATTGTTATCTACTATGGAAATTGTTAGTGAGGTATGGTCCTGTTTCAGTACATTGCTGCACAATCTTTTAGGCCACAGAACATTTAGATGATAATTGGTTCTGTGTCCAATTTGTTAGTGATCAAAAAATTTTTGGGGATTGAGTTCTACTACTTTAGGTTGTGGCAGCAACTGAATATTCTGTGTAAGATTCTTTGCTAGTCAGATGTTATTTTTACAGTATAGATGGGGTGTTGGGAATGTGGGAAATTTTGTGTGGAAGAAAAAGTGCTGGTACAGTGATGGGTTTTATGGTCTCTGATTTGTGCTGGTTATGCTATTGGCTGCAGGATTTACAAACTTTTAAAGAGATTAAATGGGAAGCAGTTATAGTTGATGAGTGCCAATCAAGGAGTATGAACACAAATGTGGCACTTATTAAGGTGCTTCAAACGAATGTGAGGCTGCTTCTTTTTAGCAGTCAACTAAAGGTACTTTTCTCCTTTTAGCTTTTTCTAGTTGTTTGATTCGTGTGGAATGTGAAGGAGATTTAAGAGAGGGAAATAAAGGGGCTGTAAAACCTTCCAAAATGCGCAGGATGTTGTAGCTGAGTACCAGTATGTGTTGTCATTGCTTGATTCTTCTGGAGATCTGAAGTTGAACCTGAGTGATAATCTTGTTAAACTGAAGGAGAGCTTATCACATTTTACAGCATATGGAAGCAAATTTGAGTCTTCTAAGTTTGTGGAGTACTGGGTCCCTGTTCCGATATCAAACTTGCAGCTGGAGCAGTACTGTTCCATGCTACTTAAAAACACTATTGCTCTTTGCTCTCCTTCAAAGAGGGATGGTGTTGGGGCCCTCTTAGATATTCTGAAGACACTTCGGAAGGTATACACAATCGGTTTGCAGCTTTGCATATAATTTTTTCTGTGTTTTACAGTACACAATGCTATTTTCATCTATGTGTTTGCATTGATGTTATCTAGCTCGAATATGCTGTCTTGGTTCTCTTTAAGGGAACCTGTCTTGATTTCCTCTTTTACATCTAATAATTAGAGATGGTGTGTTAAAAACATATGTAGAATGTTTCTCTTCTTACAGTTGAACTGGAAATATTTTAATTTTCATTTCTGGTTTTCCTTTACAGTGTTGTAGTCATCCCTATACTGTGGACTTGTATACTAAAACCTCAGTCATTAAGGGACTCCAACCACCTGAGATGTTGGATGTTGGAATAACGGCTAGTGGCAAACTACATCTTCTCGATCTGATTCTTTCTAAGATTAGAAGACGCAAGCTTAGAGTTCTCATCCTTTTCCAGGTATATAATTTGTCTATTCTGTTGACATACAATTGTGGAACTTTCTGTCTCCAGGAAATTATTTTTTTGTTGCTACTGCCACTGCTGCTGCTGTTGTTGAATTTTCCCTTTTTCTTTCAAAGAAAATTTTTTTTTGGGGTGAGGGTGGTTGGAGAGGAAATAGCAGGCAGGGAATGGTAGTGACTAGGATTGAACCCCTTTTAAGACAGATCGATGGCGGTGGCTATATTTGGTTTCAAGCACATCATCCTGATTGTTGGATGTTGTAATCTAAGGAAACGGCAGTTGTTTGAGGATATGTCTGAATTGGAAAATTTTCTTAGTGCAAGAAAACAAGTGAACCAAAAGTATGACAAAGAAAGAGGAGCTCATATTTGTTTTCCCTCCTATTATTCCTACTTACCTTCCAAATGGTGAATACCTCATGTCATTTTCTTTCCCTTCTTGTCACCGCAAAGAGCGTATAAAAAATTTTCTGCACATTTTGGGATCAGTAAAACCTGCCCCTTTTCAAAGTGCAGTTGCATTTGCAATGCCATCCCATGAACAAGAAGAACGCAAAAGGAGATGAGGAATTGATTCCTTTGGTTTTGTACTTATATCACATGGAACTTTGGGAGTGCCTACCCCTTGCTCTGCTTTGGTCCAGCATTTGTGATGATACACCTTTAAGTGCTGATTCTTTTGGTTTGCTGAGGAATAAGTTTGTCTTTAGAGACCAAAAAAGGGGTTGTCTCTAGGGTCTGTCTCCTTCAAGTTCGGCAAATTCTTGTCCATAGATCCTTAAATATGAAGCCTTTTATCTTTGTGAATGATGCAAATTCTTTGAGAGGTTGATTTTTTCTAATTTACATCTTCATTCATGATTCCCTCAAGTGTGAAAGGTGTTGAAGTAAATTTTGTGGGGATAAAATGGTGAAGAATTATTGTAATCTTGTTTTTTTCTCAAGACAGATTTGTTATTCTATTAGATCCGATCTAGTATGCATGGCTTCTTCCTAAAGCTAGTTGTATACAACCTTCCCCTTGCTAGTTAAAATCCTGCTGTCAGCATTGAACCTTGATCTTCTGATTTTGGTGGAAGTATAAAGAACCTTCAGTTTTTCGTATGAGCGAATTTTTGGAAGTGGTAACATAGCTGAGGCAAAGCAGGATATGGAGACTTTGGTTGAAAAATATAAGAAGATTAAGTGCTTTCTCTTACAATTTGGCATTGAAGTCATTCTGTAAGATAGTTAAATTCTATTTTAAATTCTATTGGTGGCCCTCTAACAATCTTACCTGTATTCCCTTTTGAATTGGTGGTTGACAGGAAGGAATAGCTGTAGTTTATTTTGGAGCATTATAGTAAATTAATGTGGTTGTTTGTCAAGCAGCAGGTGTAATAATCTGGAGTATACATACTAGTATCTCGGATTTTATTTTCTTTGGAGTGCCAGGTGGACTGTTGAGTATTTCAGTAAATGTCATCGCATGTGGTCACAGAATCTGTGTGAACTCTTTTCCCATTTGATTTTTTTGGGCCAAATTTTATTTGTACTATATGGGACATCTGGATCCGTGAGGAACACATTATTTCTAGGGTTTGTCAATTAATGTTTATTAGCCATTCTTTTGATGCTTGTGTCTTAGGTTTCTTGGGCCTTTGACTTTCTTCTACTTGGGGAAGTGTTGAGTTATGGCTGCAACTGTATTATTGTGGTGCAGTTTCATTTGTTAAACTTCAGATCTCTCTCTCTCTCTCTTTCTCTCACACACACACATGTGCATACGTGCAGACATTCTTTTATCATTCTTTTAATGGTCTTTCACATGCATGAAGATATACACATGGAGGGGAATTGGAAATACATTCTTTTTATTTGAAGTTGAAGGAGGATTCATTGTGTTTGCATAGTGTATTGTTGCGCCTTTTACTGACAGCTTGCATTCTTCTATGGGGAATCATTTTCAAGCATATGCATTTTGGGATAGACCTGTTACCTTCTTCTGTCATGGCTTATAATTTGCTTTTGTTTTCCCCTTCCAATGATAGTCAAATGGCAGTTCTGAGGGAACACCTATTGGAAGCATATTGGAAGATTTTCTGGCTCAAAGGTTTGGACAAAATTCTTACGAGGGTTTTGGAGCAACTTTTGACATAATGACAAAAAGACAGGCTACTATGGACAGGTTCAACAGTAAGGAAGGCGGAGAGTTCGTGTTTTTGTTAGACATTCGGGCTTGTATGCCAAGCATCAAGTTGTCAGTGGACATTGTTGTCTTGTTTGATACTGACTGGAATCCTGCAAATGACATGAAGGCTCTACAACGAATTTCCATCATTTCACAGAGTGACCAGATCAAAGTTTTTAGGCTCTATTCATCGTATACTTTAGAAGAAAAAGTATTGATACTTGCAAAACACAACAAGAATGTTGAAAGTAACTTGCGAAGCTCAAGTCGTGCTACTGATGACACTCTTCTCATGTGGGGTGCCTCATACTTGTTTAGGAGGTTGGACAATTATCATGCAGAAAAGAGCACTGCATCTGCTGCCGATGTTTCATCTGGACAACAGCGGCTATTGGATGATATTGTTAAGGATTTCATGGCCAAACTTCTCGATGTTTCTAAGAACAACAATGAACATGATTCTATAATTTCAAAAGTTTTTCATAGTGAGGGTGTTTACCATTCAGATTGTTTGTTGCTTGGGGAGAGAGAGGTTAAGTCAACTGATGGAGAAGAACGCCAGATATATTGGAAGAAGCTGTTGGAGGGACGGAATCCTCGGTGGAAATTGTTGCCTGGATCAACTTTGAGAAGCAGGAAGAGAGTTCATTATGCTGAGAATGATGAACCTGCAAAGAAGCACCAGAAGGTGTTAGATGGTTCTGATTCTCCATCTTTTCAACCTGAGGTTGAAGAGAGAATTCAAGCTCCAGGATCAAAGGCAGGTAAATGTTAAAGGAAATGCTCACTGTCATACTTGATAAATCGAAAGCTTTTGTTTACTTAATCTTCTTTACTCCATCCTAGTTAAGTTGTTTCATCTCTTTGATTGGTGAGAGGGTCTATACTTAAGCAGAAGCATCTGTGTCTGCAGCTGCCAATCAATCTGAGTCTTTGCCAATATCAGTTTCTTGTACATTGGGCAATGCAAACAAAGCTATTCCTCTTTCTGGTGAGAATCCTTTCTCACATGAGAGTGACATGGCTCATCTTGAAGAAAGAACACCAAATGAACAGAAGAGCCTTCATATTCTTCTGAGAGCAGAGATGGCTAAACTTTGTGATGTTCTAAAGCTTTCGGTAAATATCACATTCTTTTCCCATTTTTGTTGTTACTTTCTTTTTGGCATATATGGGGCATGGATTGGGCTTAGGAATGAGTGAGCTGCTACGGGCTGGGATGGATGATAAGAAGTATTAAGGCTGGATAATGTTGAATTCTACTTTTAGTAAACTTTTCTCCACTTTTTGTTGTTCATTGATATTTGGATTTTAGGAGTTAAGGTTGATGACTTGGGTAGTGCTTGGATAGTGAAATGCTTTATGAAGATTTATAGAAAGCAGAATGTGATTGTTTGAGTACCCATTTCTTTCTTATTATTCTGAGAGATTACTTGCATGTGATGGGTAGTCATTGGCCTCTAATAATTTCCTTTTCCATTTTTTACTATTATAACTCATTCCCAAAATTATATGCTATCTTTGGGAGGTGGTTTGTAGTGCAATGCTTAGATTAAAAAACCTAGGAATGGCAGCCAATTTTATACAAAAATGAAAAATGAAATCATGTTTGTTGATGTAAGAATCTAGCAGAACCTTTTGCAGTGTTATTAAGGTGTCAACTGGACATTTTGTTTGAAATTCAAGCTTGTTTCTTCATCTCGGTTTTGCCTATATGAAGACTTGTGGTCAATGGCATTCCTATGGTGGGAACGGGAAGCAGCTTGATTTGCTTCAGAAAACTTTTCATGCTTGCCTCCAGTTGCTGATTAATGTTTGGTAAATGAACTCTTTTAGCTGAGGCAGTTTCTTTATAGTCTTGAAGATGACAGCGCATGGTAATTTACTATACATTGGAAAAATGGAACTGCGCAATCTCTGTGGAGCATTGTGGTTTGCACCTCCAATTATATCAACTGCACGCACTAGTAGTATGCCTATTCTGTTATCTGGGATGCTGATTCTGTACTAGTGGGGAAATTCAGTGTTGAGTACTGCCACGAATTTTCCATTTTTAACTTATGTCCATCAGTGACAATGCTTCCTCTAGTCTAGTTGAAGCCAATGGTTACTTTCCATGTTATTCTCCTATGCAGATCATTATTTGTCTTGAACTGAAATGTCCTTGCTGGTTAGACAAGTATGTCCAAGCACCTAGTATGTCTAATTCTGATGTTTGGCTGTTTGAACTGCTGTTTTTGTGCAGTCTCTAATGTGGGGTCCACTTCTCTAAATGCAGAATGGTGTGAATTCTATGGTACAAAACTTTCTGGAATATGTCATGGAGAATCGTCATGTTAACAAGGAACGAGCCTCTATCCTACAGGCTTTTCAGATGTCTCTGGTTCGTATTTTCTGCCTCATCTATCTTTTGTGTCGTGCTCTAGACTGATCATTTATTCGTCATTCCCTTAGATGATACCTAAGTGGGTTCACTATTAAAAGAACACTTATCCTAAGTTTCAACTGTTGCAGCCTAGTTTGTTTATGCTTAGTGACACAGATTTACATTACCCTAATTTTTCAAATTATTCTGTGGAAGACATTTCCAACTAATTTTATGGTTGGGATATTTAGGGCTTAATAGTGCAAGAGAAATTGCAGAACGATTTTTTCTTTTTTCGGGGCAACATTTTATTGAAATGCAGGCAGCTATGCATCCCACCTTTCCACACCCATCTTCAAGGAAGATGATTTACTCATTCTTCTTCTAGTCTTCTAGGGACATTTACGTGGGCTGAGAAACTCCTCTTTGCCACCCACACTTCCCTCTTCCCACCAAAAGATTGAGAGGGAAAATATCCTACAAGTTTAAGGGTGATGCTTCAGAATGATGAATTGGGTTCAGTATCCATGGATTGTAGATTTAGTTGCCATCTCTGGTTTGCCTTGAGTTCAGTTTGTTATCTTAACAATCCACTACCCGTGGTAGCATTAATTGGGCAACCCATTTCCTCTTTTTTAGGCAGGTTTTGCTGATTTATCAATCTCTTTTGTACGTTGCAGTACTAGAAGTTGAAAGAAAGGAATGCTCAGTTCATAGTCCTCATAGGCTTTAGTCCTGTAGTATTTTCTTATTACCCTTGCATATCTTCCATGAACTAATCAGCATGCCAAGATCATAACATTGTCAAATATCATCATATTAGCTAGTGTCTTAAATATTACTTGTTCTAATTTCCTAACAGTCTTACCTATCAGGCTGGTTATGAAGAAGACAGGCGCAGTTATTTATGAATGTTTGACAATTCCTTGGGTTTTTATGGAGTCATTTCCCTGAATGCCTTCTTTGGTTTAATTAGCTACTAAAGTGTGTAATGTTGATATGCATTGAAGGTCATGCAATTAGAAAGATTCGGTACCATGAGAGTTTGATTTTCTGATATCATAATTACTCAATGAAACAACTTGACGTGCATATTAAGTAGAAGCTTTCTTTACACAGTATTACTTTGCATGGTCTTTCTTTCTGCAATATCTGTTGATATACAGTTGTGAATCAGTTGGGGGTTAGGAATGTAAAGTAGAGACCCTTAGAGGATCGCTTTTGGTCTCATGGCATGAATTAGGGTGGCATTTGGTTCAAGGGTATGAGAATCAGGATTTGGAATCATGTCCAATTTTTATGTTTGGCGAATGGGTATGGGGTTTGAAATTTTGGAATGATTTCTAAAAACTTGGTAACTCTCATTCCCGAGTAAGTTGGGAGGTTTTGTCAAATCCTCCATCTGATTCCAAAATAAGTTTTATTAAACCTTTTTTTGGATCAATCACCTTCCCTTCTCTCCCCTCTGACCGACTCCTTCCTCCTCCCTTTCCTCTCCTCCCCCCCCCCACCCCCAGTAAACCCATTCCTCTTCTCTCCTTCAAAAATTCCCCTCTTCTTACCTCCAGTATGCCCCTTTTCCCTCCGATTTCTCATCCTCCATCCACCTTTAGCATTGACCAGTCTTCCCTTCAACACACCACTTCTCACTTACTGTCAAGTCATCCCCAATCCTTACCCCAATTGACTTCTTCCTTCTCCTTGTGAAATCAAAGTGATGGCTCATAGCAACATTGAGTTGTGCCATTAGGTGGACAATATTTGGGGCTGCTGGAGATTAAATCTCGATGGAGGATGGAAATTGCTATTTGGTTCCTTGGATAATTTTTGGATTTTTCTACTCGTGTTCCAAGTTCCAACTATTGGCAAGGAGAAACGTAAAGACGAACTTGCCAAATCTTCTATTTGGGAGTTTATGCTGTTGATTGGTGATTGGAGAGTAAAAAACCAAAAAAGGCTCAAGATTGATATAAGCAGAGGAAACATACTGTGAAAAGAAAAAGAAAATATTAATTTTGAGTCCCATTCCAATGGATTTTGTACCAAGCACTAATAATTACAATGATCCCAGTCATATGTACCCATGCCGATTCTCTTTATATCATTCTGTTTCCAATTCCAATTCTGGAGCCTGAATTAAACACCCCCTAAGAAGATCCATGGCAGTATTCTGAAGATTGACATTAGTAAATTGAGTAGGTACTCCTCTCTATTCTTATCCATCACTTGCTTGGATTTGCTAACAGTCGAGCACTTCCATGGGTCTATAGATTCCCTCTGCTCTAAGTCTGTCTCGTTAAAATAAGTGGCTGTGTCATCTTATTGTAGCATTAAGCAATTTTATCCTAGCGCTTGTATACCAATGATTTGAGCCAATTTAATTAATTTTACAGCTGGACATATGCTGTTGATATTTACTGATTCAGCACAAAAGCTTGGTAGGCACAACAGCTTTGTAGAAAAGCTTAGATATTGAATGTCACCGAACTTATAATAGCAACTTGGAATAGGATGGGAGAATATGCTTGAGAAGGTGAAAACCGATTGGTAATTCTAGGAATCACTCCTAGGAATCTTTAGGCATCACACCTAAAGTTGGGATGTATCACACAACCCTAAGAAAGACGTTAAGTCTGCAGGAAAATTTTATTAATGACCAAAAAACTGACTTCTCTTTGTGGAGAAGTGGTTATTTATAGACCTTAGAACAAAGCTCATTCCAATCCTAATTAGGACTCCTAACTAGAATAGAATTCTAGTAGAAAGCTAGAAAGCAAGCTTTCTTATTCCCTATAACAACTAAACTACTAATTACCAAAAATAACTACTAAACAGAAAATTACCATAAACATAAAATTCCTGCAGCTAATTCAAATTACTAAAATACCCCTGCAGGCGAAAATCAGAAAATAAACTCCATAAAATTCAAACCAACTCCCAAGTTGGTTCCTTGTCATCAAAAGCATGCCAAATCAATGCTTGGGCATTCAACACATCCTTCCCACGTCTCCTATAAACCTTAGTGGATATTTGCCACTTATCTCTATCATTTACTGTTTGAGATTTTGATTGGAAGTGACATTTTTATGCTTGGGCACTTTGTGAAGACATTCTTTTGACCATAATGTGATATAGTTATTTATCATGGTATCATTACATAGAACTACTCTGAATGCACTTAGCATCTCATAGTCGGCCATCCAGTGGCTTCTGAACATGCAGAACTTTTGTGGAGAAGTAATCTCTTTTGCATGCTCAGCTGCAAGCATACAAATTTATTGAAGTTTAAAGAAGGCTGATGAGTGTCAATGTTTTTGCCTCTGGGAATGATTATAATAATATGATGTTGCATTACTTTATTTTCCAGTGTTGGATTGCAGCTTCAATCATGAAAGAAAAAATTGAACGAAGGGATTCTCTTAATCTAGCGAAACAGATATTGAATTTTCAATGCACCAAAGAAGAGACAGACATAGTTTATGATAAATTACGGCCATTGAAGAGCACATTTTTGCAGCTTTTAAGAAACAAGAATGGTTTAATGCCTTCAAAGAGTGTTGTATCAGCTTCAGAAGATGTTACAGAACAGTCACTAAAGGCAGGGGAGCCACCATCAGAGTTTTTTAAGCTGCAAAATGTGAAAGTTGAAGTTGAAGAGAGCTCATTTAATCTGGAACCTTCCCAGTGGGGAACAATAGATCAGTTAACAGTACATGATGTGGTTAGAAAGAAGTTCAAAAAGTTTCAGAAGAAACGTAAAGACATGTTAAAGCTTCATCAAAAGCAAGAGGAGGAAATTCAAAAGTTCCACAAAATGCGAGAGCAGACGAGGGTACAATTAGAGAATGAACACCGGCTGGAGTCAGCTTTCATACGCACAACATACAATCAAACTGCAATGGAGATGGATAAGCTTAAGATAGCAGACAGTGAATTTGAGAAGAAAATTCAAGAGCATGAATGTATCATGGAGATGCAACTTAAACAGCTTGAGGCAAGGCATGCAGCTGCAATTGAAGAAGAGAGTAAAAGAGCTGCTGATTGGTTAGCCCAGATGAAGTCTGGCTTGAGCGAACAGAGAAATGTCAATGAGCAGCATATGCATGGATCTGAATATTGTGAAATGGGGTCTTCTGAGGGTTCTGGACGTATTACTTCGATGTGTCCTGAGAATGAGGTCCATCATTCTAGACCTGATTTGGGAGAACAAAGTCCAGATAGAATAGTGCATGTAAGTCGAGGTAGTATTGTGATAGTGTCTCACATACCAGTGACTGCAGCAGATGATGCTACTGGCTATAGTACACAATCTAAAACAGTACCCATTGCAGTGAATTCAGTCTCAGATGAGGCATTAGAGATTGTGGCAGCTGAAGCATCATCTGTTACCAGAGTTGACCAGTCCAAAGAATCAAGTCGCACCTCTAACTTTACTCCTGAGGTTAACGCAAAGCATGCAGGTTCTTGTAGTGTTCCTGATGAAACATCACCTGTTTTGCTGCATCCAACTTCTGAAAAGGCATCAGAGACTATACCAGTTGGCACATCATCTTTTATCAGATTTGATCAGCCCAAAACAGCAGAATATTTATCTCAGACATCCCAGGAGATTACTCCTAATTGTTCCTCTAATGGAGCTGAGGAGATCGTTTGCATTAATCTAGCTACTTATAATGGGCAAAATACTCGTGAAATTTCATCAAGTGGTCAAGATTATGAGATACCTTCAGGGCTGCCTAGGACAGCTGGATCTGAAATTGGGAATGCCTGCACTTCAGAAATGGGTGCTCTTCTCGAGTTTAATACAGAAAATGGTACAGGAAATTCAATAGGTTCTGATGTCAGGGGGAACCAGGAAGGTCGGACTCATAACTCCATTTGCGGAACTGCTCTCTCTGGACAAATGCAATCAGTAGATCTAATTATGGTGCAAACATTTCCTCCTCCAGAATCGCCTACACAATGTGTACGTAACAATTTCTCTAGCCAAACCCTCTCAATTTTTTTCTTTTTAACAAAATCCATTGCAGCATTGGAGGTGCAATGAAAGATGTTTTCCTCAATCAATTTTGTATAGGTGTATTTAATATTCATGATTGATTTTAATTGATTTTTATTACATGGATTAGTTTTGATTTATAACAGCCAACAGTTTTCACAGTTAAAATATTAGTCACCTATTTGAAAATAGATTTAGTACTTAAAGTATGTTTTACAGGAAAGTGAGATTTGTTGCAGTGTTCAAGTTAATTGAAGAAGATGTGGTTTGCAACTTTTGGTTGTAGAGTGCACTTAGATTGACAGTTTATGTTATTTTATAGTTAAAAATCATTCAGTCTTGAGTATTCTGAATGTTATGTTGGCAATTGTCAAAGAAGGGAAGTTGAAAGTCTATTTTGGAACCGGATGAGTAAGTAGTGTCATTGAATGTGAATTAGTTCGTCTCTGCTTTCAATGACTTTTTGGACTGGATGAGTTACTAGTTTCATTTTATGTGAATTAGTTCATCTCTCCTTTTACTGACTTTTTGGAAATGGATGAGTAACTAGTGTCATTTTATGTGAATTAGTTGATCTCTCCTTTTACTTTCTGCTACATTTAAATTTCTCTGTCTTATGTTCTTTGTTAGGTTGAGATTTGTTGACATTATCACAGTTAAGCTGATGTATGTATCATAGATTAATAAGTATTCGACAATTGAAATATGGGCCTTTGTCATTTGTCCGGTTGTCTAGTGTTTTCAGTGCTGTCAAGAAGGTAGTTCAAATGTGGTCTAATATGGATATTATTATTGGGAGAATGTTAAAGTTAGATATTAAATTGTTAGGTGATGCATGATGAAATTCCTAATATGGATTCAGCTTATATGCAGATTGAAGACTTGCCAATTGCAGGAGATCTGAACACAGCAGTGGGATTGGTAAGCTCTACACCGCTTGAAGCTGGATTAAACATTCAGTTAGATTGTGATGCACAATTAGCTGCAACTAGTGAGCCGTTGCAGCTGGCTTCCAGTTCTTCATCTCCTGAACAAAGTCAACCTGCTGCTGAAGCCGTTCACCAAGTTCCAATTGAAGGGAGTAATCCTCTACAGAACTCTGATGCTTCTCCCCAATTCTTTGAGCGGTCGGCGAATCTCTCTCATGAAGCTGTTTTGCTGGCTGGGGAAAACTTGGTGCAGCTGGTTTCTGAATGTTCACCTTCCATCTGCAGTCAATCTACTGCTGCTAATGCTGTTGGCCAAGCTCATACTGAGACTTCTGAGGCTTGTATTGGAGAGAACTTGGTGCACCCAGCTTCTGATTTTTCTTCACGTGTCTGCAGTCAACCTGCTACTGCAGAAGCTGTTCAGCAAAGTCATGTTGAAGGGAGCAACTCTAGACAGACCTCTGACACTTCAACCCAATTAGTTGAGGAATCACTGGAGCTTTCTCACCAAGCTCTTTCTCAGGATGGAGAAAACTTGGTGCAGCTGGCTTCCCACCATTCATCTCCTGTTCGTAGTCAACCAGCTTTTGCTGAAGCTGCTTACCAAAATAATGTCGATGGGAGCAACTCTGTGCAGACCTCTGAGGCTTTGACAGTGGATCGCTTGGTGCAGCTGGCTTCTAATCTTTCATCTCCTGTCTGCAGGCTGCCTCCTATAGCTGAAGCTGTTCATGAAGGTCAAATCGAAGGGAGAAACTCACTGCAGGGCTCTATCCAATTGGTTGACACATCTGCTGAGCTCTCACTTGATAATGTTCCCCAGAACTGTGAAAACTTGATCCATCCCGCTTCCAATAGTTTTACTCCTCTGTATAGTCAACCTACCATGGCTGCATCTGTTGATCAAGGCCATATTGAGAGGGCCAACTCGCTGCGGATCTCTGAGGCTTCCAATCTTTCATCTCCTGTCTGCAGGCAGCCTACTATAACTGAAGCTGTTCACCAAGGTCAAATTGCAGGGAGCAATGCACTGCAGACCTCTGAGGCCTCTATCCAATTGGTTGACAGGTGTGCAGAGCATTCACGTGATGATGTTCCCCAGAGCAGCGAGAACTTTGTCCATTTTGTTTCCAATTGTTCATCTCCTCCTGTGTGTAGTCTTCCTTCTGCAGCTGAATCTGTTGATCAAGGCCATATTGAGACGGGCAACTCGTTACAGACCTCTGAGGCTTCTTCCCCTGTGGTTGAAGGGTCAGTGCTGCTTTCTCAGCTAGCTGTTTCTCTGAATGGGGAAAACTTGGTGCCACCTCCTTCAACTGAAGGCAGATCAGGCTTAAATTTACAGACAATCAATGGAACTAATCATGACTGCAGTGCGGAGCTGTCTGTGGTGTCCCACAATAGCGTGGTTCCAACTCAAGTGGTTGACAATGCAGCTGAACTCATTAACCAAGCTCTACAACAATCCAGGCCTAACGTGGCCGTAGCTGAAGGATCAGCTCACCTTTCAGTACGTCAACCGCACCATGTAGCTTCTTCGAATCTACCTCTACCTCTTCAGGTTGACCCACTTCAAAATGAATTGGAGAGGATACGTAAAGAAGTGGAACAAACTACTACACTTCATGATAGCACGGTAAAGTTTAAGCTTGCTTCTTGGTTACTGCACGTGTAGAGCAAAATCTTTTTCATGACACAGCTTTTTTGGCATTCAACAGAAGCTGCGGTTTCAATCTGAATGTGAAAAGGAAATAGAGGAAATGATTGCTCAAATTCGTAGCAAATATGAAGCAAAACATAGAGATGCTGAGACAGCATTTCTGTTGAAAAAGACTGAACTGGATACAAACCAGAAGAAGGTTCTTATGAACAAGATATTAGCTGAAGCTTTTCGCTCTAAATGCTTGGATCTTAAGCCTTCTGCGGTTTTATCGATGCCGCAAGGTACTGAGCTTTTGGCATGTCTTGATATGTGTGAAATGTTACAGCCCGTGTTTTATGTGTGGGGGTTAATACAGTATTAAGCACTTAATTCAACCATTGTAAAGTTGGCATTCTTGTTTGGCATTTAGATCTTGCATTGGCACTTTATGTTTGCAATGCTAATGTATCATAATTTTGTACTAATGTATGGTTAATTGCTCTGGAGTCAAAATGTTCTTTAGAGTATTAGAAACTTTGGACTAATCCTTCAAGCTGCTTGATGCTCCTCCTGCCTGACCGAGGAAGACACTTCTCAAGTAGAAAATTAAAAAAATTGCTGATTCAATATCTAAACTGCTGATCTTCAAGTGTATTTGCGGTCAAATTTATTCCTTGATCTAAGTTTGTAACACTTGACTCTTTTAAGCTTAAAGTCAAGGATATGCCACTGAACGTTAATTTTGCTGCATTGACTGAATTACTTTTATCTTCTTTTGTAATAAGAACTTTTCTATGTGGCATATCCTCTTATTATTTGGTAAAGTATTTGAGTGTGATTTTCCAAGACAAACTGATTTGGAACTTTTCAAAGATGAAAAATGCCACTAGTGCTGGACCTTTATCTGAACTATTAATTGGGCTTTTCTTTTCGGGGATTTTTTTTTTCTATTTTTAGAAATTTTGAGATCTAAATTTAGTACATGTTCTTTTCCGCAGGTGCTCCTGTCAGTTTCATTCAGCGGGTGAATCAGTTATCCTTGCAGCCTACAGGGAGACATCCCTTTGTTGCTACCTTGTCTCCTGCTGGCCTACCTTCTGTGAGTCAACAGACTGCAATGCCACCTGTACAATCTCTTCATCGTTCTTCAGGACTTTTTCCAAGTGTTCCTGCAAGACCTCCCCAAATCAGTGCCATTACCCCTTCTACTGGTGGTGTTCGAGTTAGTGGAGAGAAACGTGCGCCAGCCCCACATCTTCAACCTTTCAGACCACCTGGTTGCACGTCTGCCGCTGCTAGTAGCTCGTGCATTCCCGGCAATATTCCCAATCAACAGGTGCCAATCAACTTGCCTGCAAGATCTGTGTCACTTCCCCCTGTTCCAAATCAACAACCACTGCCATTGCCTTCACAATTCTTGCTGCAACAAAACCCCTCACCCCCAACCCAACCAACAGCTGCACTGCAACCGAGCAGGATCAGTCAAGCTGTTTCTAGTAGTAGGCCTTCTCAACCTGAAAGTGGAGTGCAGCCAGGTTGTTATAACCCCAGTCAATCTGCGGTGGAGTTGCTCATGGATATTGATAATCAAGCTGGTGGCCACCTGCCTACTATATTGCAGCACTTAGCTGGCTCTGGTTTAAATACGAGCATGCTAGATCCATCAGTCACCAGAGCACCGGGTAATGTGGACCGTAGCCTAAAACTTCCAGCTGTAGCTTCTGATGTTGTTTGCTTGTCTGATGATGAAGACTGACCAATGTAAAACGCATGTATTGTTGCCCACTGGCAAATGCACATCTTTTGCCAAGTAACCTGTCTAGTGTGTTTTCAGTGGGACGTTTGATCATGTCCCTCTATAAAATGGAATGGAAGTTGGGGTACATGTTCAGCTGACAGCTTTCCATAAGAGCTCTCACTAATCCTGTTAGTTTACAAATGACAGTTGCATATGACTTGTTAACAGCTAATAAACGATTTGCCAACAGTATGTTTTGAGATCTAAAGGCATGCGAAGGAAGCTTATTCGTTAATTCAGTCATTTGGGATGGAGCAACTCTATATTTTAAGGTCCCTGTATATATTCCTCTGTTGTTTAAATGGGTAGCGTTCAGTCCACCTTAAGATTGACTTTTTCCATGTATCCTGAGGTATACATATGTGTAGACGGAGTACATTTTTTTTCTTTGTTTGCAAGTTCGTCTCATACTCAGCATGAATGAATCCATTCCTCTTCATCGGGGGTTGTACGATTTCCAATCCTCTTCACCTGAATAGAATTTTCAGTTACTGTCATTCATCGAATCAAACTCTCGACTCTCGTAGCGTGCTGCAGCCTTCGGAATCATAATCAAACACGAATAAGTTGCAATTTCTGGTTTTCTAGCATTAAATTTGTTGATCCCTGATGCTTGACTAGATTCAAACCTTTTTTGGTGGTATCAATATCCCCCAAAGATGTATGATGGCTGCTTCAAACTCTAATGCAGGAAAGCCGCTTCAAACAGCTTTCCATGGAAGTCGCTGGCTACGATTAAAAGTTGGATGCATGTAAAAGAAAATGTAGCTATTTATCTTCTTTAGTGGATTTAAGGACATTTCCTGAAATAAGTGTGTCACAACTGCAAAGTGCCTGTACTGTTGTTACCCCAAATTGTGACCAGCGCACGGGAAGAAGTGTAGAGGCCTATGGGAATTAGACTTGGTGTAGGGAACTGCTGTAGGTCCTTATAGTGATAGTATCTGTTAGATTTGGGCCAGTGACCAAATGTGCCTTGGCAATATAGCAATTCTTTTTTGTGCATAAAGAGAATTGGATGATCGGGTAGATAACATGGAGGAAATTGGAGGTGCGAATGGATATTAGCGTTTCAGCGGCCTCCTCGCTCAGTGACTTGTTGGTTAGGATGTAATTCATGACGCGGGTTTACTTGTTTAATGCCCATTTAGTCCTCAACCCCTCACAAGGAAGGGTATTGGAGGGGGGGGGGGGGGGGATGGAGGGGAACGGTGATAATTGAAGTTTTACGGCAGTAGGATGCATTCTAAGTTTTTTTATTAGAAGTTTGATAAGGTATGAACCAATTTTATTTTTTTTTTTCCAAAAAGTTGGTTTAGTGGTTAAGTAGTTATTCCACAACCCTAAGCTGGTATTTAGGATTGCACGAATCAAGAGCGCTCATAAGGCATCTCGGTTAAAGCTCGAGTTGATCAAGTGCGTAACTCAATTTGTTAGCTCGTGGAAGTTAATCATGTATGGAAATAGGATGTTAGTCAAAACAATAATATATGATGATTAAAATCCTCACAAAATCTAAGAAATTCCAACAAATTACAATAATTTATCTGTACATCAATCACGAGAGACAAAAAGGTAGAAAAAAACAATAGATGGGAGTAAGAGTAGATGGTGACAATTGACAAAAAAAAAATATAGAGAAAAACAGTTTGCTACTACAGTAAAACAAAATATTCCTTAAGGAAGCCTGCTCTTCTGTCGGTCTTCACCGAGTACAACAGCTAAAATCTGCTCAATGTGCCGTGGAGTGGCATCTAACACAAGGGTAGCGGAGCACCATTCCAATCTTTGAGACACTCGAGCAATGGATCGACCATCTTACCATCACAAATTGCGGAGAAAACCTTATCAAATTCCTCTCCAGGTGACTTTGCCTTTTCTCCTGTCAAGAATCCAGTCGCCAAATCTTCCCTCACAAATTTGTATAAAGGGTAAGACCTGCATTTCTTGATCCTATTTGGGACTGCAGGATTACCACTTTCACATGCATTTCTTGCACTTTCAACTTCTATTGGCAAAAGGGTCTTCAGCTCTTCTTCAAAAGCTCCAACTTTGAGGAAAATCGAAGTGTTCGGATTTAGGTCATCATTGTTGATCAGGGCATGATCAACAAGGACTTGCCTTAGCTTTTGCATCAGTGGATAAGTTGCACTGCAAGGATCATCTATATATGTAAACACGTATTCACGCTCAACCACTTTAAGTAAATCTTTTTCACAGAATCTTGAAGGATGAAGCTCCCCATTGATGCCTGTGGTCAGAACCTTTTTAGCCACTTGGTGAACTGTGTTCTTGACAGCGTTTTTCAAATTTTCCTCCAAATGCCTCAGATCAATTGCCTGACAAAGTGCCACTAGGTAAGTTGAAGACATCAGTTTCAAGATATCTACTGCTTCAGCTGCTTTTCTAGAAGAAATCAATCCTAAAGAGTTAACATCCTGATTGTGTTGCTCGGCACTCTGTACATGATTTGTGACAGGGTTGGCCAAAAATTGAAGCTCAGAACAATAGGCGGCCATTGCAATTTCGGCCCCTTTGAACCCGTAATCCAAGCTAGGATTTCTTCCTCCAGATAGATTAGAAGGCAAGCCATTATTGTAGAAATCATTGACGAGCTCAGAAAATTGAGCAAACATGAGTTTCCCTATGGACGCTATAGCTAATCTGGTGTTGTCCATTGACACACCAATGGGAGTCCCCTGAAAATTCCCTCCATGCAAGGCTTTGTTTCTCGACACGTCAATCAAAGGGTTGTCATTGACAGAATTGATCTCCCGTTCAATCGATTTTGTCGATGATCTAATAACTTCAATTTGAGGTCCTAGCCACTGTGGTGAAGTACGCAGTGCATATCTATCCTGTTTAGGCTTCTGGAGGGGATCCGTTTCATGCAAAACCTTTGCTGCCTTGACATAGGAACTGCCATCTAAAATGTGTTCCATTATGGCTGCGGCTTCTATCTGACCAGGGTGGTGCTTCAGTTTATGCATCAAATGATCAATGAACTCCGGTTTCCCGTGCATAACTTCAGCAAAAATTGCTGATAAAACTTCAGATAAGATTACCAATAAATTTGCCTCAAACAGAACCATGGAGGCCAAACCCGACCCTACAGCTGTGCCATTAACCAGTGCTAGACCCTCCTTAGGCTGCAACTCAAAGAACCCGCAATTTATCCCAGCAATCTGAAATGCCTCCGTGGCATCAAGGGACCGACCATTAGGCCCAACACACCTAGAATTAGGACGGCCAGTCAACAGTCCTGCAATGTATGACAAAGGAACTAAATCGCCAGAGGCAGTGATCGTGCCGCGGAGAGGCAAACATGGAGTGACGTTGTGATTGAGAAGCCTTGTTAGAGCTTCTAATATCTCAAATCTGATCCCTGAATACCCCTGTAGAAGGGTGTTGATCCTTACTAGCATTGCAGCCCTTGTTGCAGAATGTGGCAACGTGTGACCTGACTCTGCTCCATTTCCAAAAATTCCAGCATTCAAGAACCTGATTTTTCAACAGCATTGGGTCAAATAGTTTCTTTTTCAGTGGTTTTACAAAATTGATTTACACTAATTAACATATTAGTAATTTATAACATTCATAAGTATTTCACGCTATAATGTCCAAGAGCATGGTATTTTTTCATGACATTAATGATAGGGTGGGCAACAATTCTGCCCTGACATTTAATTTTCAGTGATCGGCCATGTTGGCTCTTCATAACTATGGTCCAATCAACACAGAATCCATGCCCTCAGGGATGGGATAAAGGTCAATCAGTTAACTACTGGGGTCGGCATAAAACACAATTGACAGCTTACTATCACAAGTAAACCATTTTCATACAAAATGCAAAAAAAAAAAAAAAAAATGCTTTTAAGTAAAAGTGTGGGTTTTCAATTTTATTTAGGCAACAAAATCGGCAAGGAGCTTCCAATAGTAGGCTATATTATGGGCTATCTCGCCTACTACTTTTAGTTGTTTTTTCAACAGAAGGTAGTGTCCCAATTTAGCCAAGTACTCCTAGGCCCTAGCTTGCAAAGCAGCCCTGCTCAAGGATACAAGCTTGATAATTAATCCTTGCTGGGGGCCGGGCGATGTCGCCTACAGTCAAAGTGGGGTTAGGTAGAAGATAGTACGTAGTAGTTTTACACTGCTTCCTTTATGTTGGCAGGCTCTTGGTATTAGACTGAAAGGCAGAATTAATTCTCCACTTATTCCTCTGTCCTTTAAGTGACATTTTAAGTTTTCACTTCCCACCTCGTGCGATTACAAGAAAACGAAAATTGTTTTCTCTACTATCTAACTGTACTAGCAATAAATTTTTTTTCTTCTATATTCCATCTTTTTGTTTTTTTTCCCAATGAACTGTATTAAAAAGACTCCTAGCAAAAAAATAAAATAAAATAAAATAGACAATGCACCTAACTTATTCATTTTTGACAAAAAGTTCTCCCTTTTTTCGAGACAGAAAAAAATTCTATATTCTATATCTGGGGAATCTGAAAGGTACGGAACCGCTACAAGACTGATGAAATTTCCAAGAAATGTTGGACAAGAATGCAAGTCAAAAGATATTCAAGCAGAACTTTAAAGCTCTCCCAGCTGGGCCAACCAACCACTCTAGACAACAAGTTCTCATTATTAGTTAAGCAACGTACCTAACAATTTGGTCCATAAAGAGTAAAGACCCTACTTTACACTTAAAAAAAGCTAAAATCGATGTAATGACATAGTAAGAGGGAAGAAATCAGGAAAGATTCTTTTACTCTTTGTCCCATCCTCTTAATTATTTACCCCTCATCAACCAAAACCAAAGCAAGAGCCAGTGAAACACTAGCTAATACACACACTTAATATATAATTAATCTAACCTGATCAGCTCAGTCTGCAAAGCAGTTCCCTGTTTTGTTCTCCTGTGAGAAGTGGCGCCAAATCCAGTTGTGACCCCATAACTGTCTGTACCATTGCTCATGCTCTCCACCACCCACTCACTGCTGGCCTTCACACCAGCCTTGGCCGACTCACACAGCTCCACCACCGTCCCACCACCACCACCACCTGCATGCACGGCGGCCACCGCTGCCACCTGGGCTACCGTCAACGTTTCACCACCTAGCTTCACTAGTGGCTTCCGATATTCGCGTACCATTTTCTTCACTTCATCCAAATGGCTCCCCTTCAATGACTCCGCCGCCGCGTTCCAATTCAAGGGATCATCTTGGACGCAGAAGCGATTGGAATGATGGACATTTCCATTTTCATGTACGTGCTCCATATACTTTTTTTTCCCTGGGTGAACAAATAAATTTTTCTTTTTTTTTGGGGTCACGGGCAAGAAAGCAAATGTTACACTTACAAATGTTGGGTACGAGACTCTTTTTTTTTCC